GTGATGCTCTGCAGCAAAACACTTTGCGGTAACTGCAGCAATTTTGGGAATTATCATGGGGTGGGGGTGGGGGTGGGGGACTCTCAGATTGTGATTTTTTATTATTATCATAAAGTGTTAAAAATATTATTTAGAGCAAAGCATGGAATTGTAATGAATTAAAATATCTAAAAAATATACCATGCTTGATACTTTTTACATGTCACCCGTGAAACACTTTTCTATTTTAGGATAGCTGGGGCACAGCATACTGGTATAAAGTAACATAGTAACTGTTAAGACACCCCTGGCACAAAGGAGTGAAATCGCTGTTTAGTTAAGCTTCCCCTTTCTCAATAATGCAAGCTCCATTCGTATATAGTTCAACTGTACGAACTGCAACCAGGGGAATGTGCCAGTCTTCCCGAACGGGACCCGTACGGGTGCTCCAAACTCCCAAACAATAAATCCATGAATCGTGGCTAACAGCCGAACCAATGTATTCTCCAACCAGGTTACGCTTCCAGCAATCAGTCGCTAACCGTGTGTAGTAAATCCCCCCAATAATGAGACCAAGCTCCGCATTGAGGGTAAAACAAGAACTGGGTTTACTGTGGGCTACCCGCCCGTATTTATGCAGGTCTCCCACTTGGTGGACACTCCCCTAGGGGACCAAATGGGAGACTGTAGTTACAGACAGACATATAGCATGTTAGGACAAACAGGCACAAAATATTCCCACAATGCCTGGATCTGAGTGCATATTCTTACCGAATAGCGCCATGGGAAGGCTATCTGGGTTAAGTCAATTCGTATAATCCAAACTCCCGAACGGGCTGGTGTTCTCATGCCTTGACGAATGAGAAGGGCAGTCTGTAGTTTCAGCGGTGTTTGGCAGAAAAAGTGTCAGTTTTTAGTTCCATAGAATCTGCACCGAACACCGCTGGTCTTTCGCATGGTTTAAAATGGCCGCCGCCTCATGGTCGGCATACGAACGACGACCACCCTGCATTCAGTTATAATTAAGAGGTGTCTGCGGTTAACCACAACGTTCTAATTGGGATCAAGAGGTTAACCAGAAGCACACTTCTCTTCTGGGTGGCCGTCCGTTCGGTAAGTTGATTCGGTAAAAAGTAAAAAAGACGAATAGGGGTATATGGACAGGCAATTCCACGAAGGGGAGGCAAACTAGACGAACCAGCAATATCAGTCTTACAGATGAATCTGTCACATATAGTAACATAATAATACTGTGACAGAATGAATTGTAACACCTTAATATGGTAACAAAATAATACAGTGACAGAATGAATTGTATCACCGTAATATGGTCACAAAATAATACAGTGACAGAATGAATTGTAACACCGTAATATAGTAACAGAATAATACAGTGACAGAATGAATTGTATCACCGTAATATGGTAACAAAATAATACAGTGACAGAATGAATTGTATCACCGTAATATGGTCACAAAATAATACAGCGACAGAATGAATTGTAACACCATAATATAGTAACAGAATAATACAGTGACAGAATGAATTGTATCACCGTAATATGGTAACAAAATAATACAGCGACAGAATGAATTGTAACACCATAATATAGTAACAGAATAATACTGTGACAGTATAAATTGTAAGACCGTAATATAGTAACAGAATAAGTGAGGGTGCTGTTAGTGTGTATGTGTGAGGGAGATGTGTGTGTGTGTGTGTGTGTGAAGGTGCTCTTAGTGTGTGTAAGGGTGATGGGTGCTGTATGTGTGAGGGTGCTGTATGTGTGAGGGTGCTGTTAGTGTGTGTGTGTGTAAGGGTGATGTGTGTGTGTGAGGGTGCTGTTAGTGTGTATGTGTGAAGGTGCTGTGTGTGTAAGGGTGCTGTTAGTGTGTGTGTGTGAGGGTGCTGTGTGTGTGCTGTATGTGTGTAGATGCTTTGTGTGTGGGGGTGCTGTTTGTGTACTGTATGTGTGTAGATGATGTATGTGTGTGTGCTGTATGTTTGGGTGATTGTGTGTATTGTGTGGTGGCGTTTAGTAAATATCCCCCCTCCCTTCCTACTTTATTCCTGGGAGGGGGGATCCTGCTGCTGCTGCCTTCCCTGGTGGTGCAGTGGAGAGTGAATTCTAGCCTGCTGTTGCAACGCTCAGAATCCCGTGAGAGGAACCCGGCTGAGCTGCTGGCAAGAGCTCCCCAGGTCCTCTCCTGCCTCCCTCCCTGCATGTGGGCCGGTGATGGGAGGTTTAGAGCAGAGCCGGCGTTCGGATTGCGCCGGCTCTTCATGAGCCGACAGGGGAGATCCTGAGATCCTGGGGCACAGCATACTGGTATAAAGATCCTGAGATCTCCCCTACCGGTCTCAATCCATAGGCATGCCGCGGGGATTAGGGTGTGCCCAGGCACACCCAGCACACCCTGTGTGCACGCCTATGGTTATATGTGAAGATATAAATCAGTAGTTTCTAATGAATAAGGGCCACCTCACCATAGACTATTTATTAATATTATTTGTTAATCGAGGACCTTGTGGACGGAGTTCTCCTAATTCTCTCTTTCACAGCCATAGTCACGTGAAGGACTCTCCCCGCACCTTCCTGTAAGTAATGTTCCATATTCTAGTCTTTATTACAAAACAGGTTATTTTTTCACATTGTAAGATCCCTTCTAATTAATGTGTACACATAAATCCTGACCTGTTACCTGAGAGTGACCTAACATTGGCCATATTCCTCAAACACTGATCTCAAGCCTACTCTTGTCATTTAGATCATTATCTTTCTATCAGTTTTCCTTAGCTAATACAATACAGATTGTTCTAGAACTTCCTACCCCACCCACCTCTTTCAACTCAATTAGTATTTTCATACCCGTAGTCCCTCTCTATCTCAAACAGGACCTTGTCTCTTTTCAGATGGAATAATGAAAACCTTAACCCTTGCATCTTCCACCCTCACTCTATATTTAATATTTCCAGAAAGCAGTCATTCTCTTCCACAACACATGTATAAAAAGTGGTTTGGGGTCATGTGATCAAAATATAATTTTGTTTCTTTATTAATCAATGGTAAGATTGATCAATGGTATGCAATGCAAATTTGGGCACCTGTTCTGAAGAAGGATGTTACAGAACTAGAAAAACTGCAGAGGTAAAAATGCAAAATTAACCAGGGGGATGGAAAACATTAGCTACGAGGAAATCATTACAAATTTAATTGTTTTCTTTAGAAAAAAGGCACATCAGAGGGGACATGATAGCACTATACAAGTATTCACAGGATCAGTACAAACCTCTATGGGCTAACCTATTCATTAACAGGAATATACAATAGGCAAGAGGTTGCATATTGAGACTTGAAGAAAGGCGATTTCCCTTACAGTAAGAACAATAAAGAGGTGGTCTTATCAGATCCTATAGATATATTTTTTTTTTAAAAGGCATGGCTGTTTATTGTTTTGCAAAAACGGAATATTCAACAATATGATTAATATGTTTGTGAACAGATTGTTAATCAAAGAAATCGGATTGCCGTTATGAAGTCAAGGTGGATTCCCCCCCCGCCCCCATTTGTGGCATAGTTGGAAATTGCTACAATTAAGTTTTTTGCTTTCTTTTAGATCAACAGCATTAAAGAACGGGATTCAAGGTTGAACTTGATGGAATGTAGTCTTTTTTAAACCTAGTTTGGATTACTATGTAACACGTCTTTACACCTCTATCTTCCATTTTATCTGTGTACTCTGACACCACTAACCACAACATACTGAGATCAACAGCCATCTATGGTCTCTTCATCTCTAGTTCCCTATTTTCTGGGTACTCACTGTATGCTGTTTACCACTGCTACCCGTAATTCACTAATCTGTGACTGTGTTGGTTTTATCTAGCTGACCAACACTTCCAAATCTGGTAACAATAAGGGAGGTAACAAAGGGATTATACATCCTGATTGTTCAGTCTATCTCCTTTGTTTTCCCTAAAGAGGATCATACCACAGTCTCTAGCTGTTTGACTCTTATCAATATTGCTATCAACAACGTTCTTTTTTTTTCAATAGAATCCTGCTTGGCTTCCTCCTCCATTCTCTTGTGTGAAATTCTCAGTTTCATCCTTGGTGAGTGTAGCTTGGTGTGTTACTTCACCTACCTGCTATGAAACCACCAGATCCCTCTCGACCTCCTCGTTTTCACTCAGTAGACTATCTTCTCCTATAGCAAATATGATTTCGACCTCTTTATCCTTAATCTGTGCTCAGTATTTAATTTCTCCATGATCAGCTAGACATTCCCCAAGTCTCCAGACCTCTAAACTCCATAGTAACTGATTCCTTGATTGAAGCAGAGGGGCTAATTTCTCTACTTATACAGGCTTGTCCCTTCTCTCTCCATAAAGCATGTATTCAACAATCTGTCTTATCTCAAATTTCCAATCTACTTGTACTTCACAAATATTATTTGTTTAGTTACATTCAAACGTCCTCCCTGGCTAAGTCAATATGTGAACACATAGATGTTTACCTATAGAGTACCTGCGCAATGCTTCCTATAGATTGCAAGCTCCTTTGAGCAGGGCCCACCTTACTGCTTGTTTCTCTATGAATGGATCTGTTTATCATTATTTAATTACGGAATAACTACTGAAATGGTATGAAATATTTATAGTGTTAATAAAAATAAAAGGTTATTGTAAATACTATTTGAGAATGTGTTAATGAATGTATGTTGGTATATGGAGTTTTTAGTAACTACATGAAAATGTTTAGAGACAACAAACCAGTTATTTGGTAGCAATCTCAGTGACTAGATAAAGATGAATGTTATAACTTGCTGTAGGGGAGAGTTGATATCCCACAGGTTATCGCCACTCAAGATCCCAGTGAGGCTCAGGAACAAGTATTAAAAATCCATAAGGCAATAATTCCAGCAGGCAAGACAATCCAATAATATCCCAACATCAATCCCAATGACTGGATGACACACAGCATCAGGAGCAGAACTGAAATTTTAATCACTCAACCTTCTTTTAAAGCTTTCTCCCATGCAAGGGAGGGATTTACAGTAATTACACAATACACCAATCATACACGAGTTCCCATCCACACATCCCCTCCCTTTAGGATTGCACATAATCCCATTATGCAGGACACAGTTCCCCTTGTTTTCTGGATGGACCCCTAAACATAGGGATACCCCTTTAAATATTACAGCCCCTGGTAGCCCTGATCTGGGTGAGACACCTATCCAAAAATCACCCAGATCTGACCAGGGGTTCAGGAAATTCCTGGAGGTATTAAAAAGACCGACCGCGCTGGAGTTAACAGCTGAAAAGGGTTCCATACATGTTGGACCTGCGGAGGAGGTTTCAGCGGTGTTTGCCTAATCGAGTGTCCGATTTGGGTTCCAGACACTCGATGGCAAAACACTGCTGTTTGGGAGTTTAAGATGGCCGCCGCTACGTCGTGTTCGTCTCCCGAATGACGGCCACCCAGAGGACAAATTACACACTGCATGAATTGCCAATTACCCGTTTGCAACATTGTTGCGAATGGTAATTGGAGGCACACTTATTCCTGGGGTGGTCTGATTGTTCGGTAGTTTCATTCGCATAATAACTGGAGTGATTTTACTGAACAATCAGGTGAATGCTGCATACACTTAACATACACATGGCAAAATTAAACCGAAAACATACAAATATACATAATTCTGAGGATAGCCCAATGCCAACCGCTACACTTACCATGGGTGGTTTTAAGTTTAATCAGAGGGGTCTGTTAGAGTGAATGAAACAAGTTGTAATAGAGGACCCATTCTGATAATCTTAGTGACTCCCTTAAGTTATATTGCTAACAAGAGAAGCCAAGAATGATTTCCTTGAAAATGAGATAATTGGGTAAAATGTACTAAGAGGATGGATCTCCTGTGATGTACACTGTGAATATGAGAGCACAGGGACACAGAATGTGTATACACCGTAACTCAGGATTTCAGGAGAGAGAGAGGACCTTTCGCCATGTGACAGTACATATACCGCCTAAGCTAGCATGCTACCTTACCAACATCTCATATCCTCTCCATTATTCCACTGTAACAACTTATAGATGGTGGGTGGAGGCACTAAACATATAATTCAACTGGTTGGGTCCTAATGTACCCACCCCGGCCCCTACCTATAGATGAAGGGTTGTGGTTTGAAATATAATTTTAGAGGGGGGAGGGGGCTAGTGTCACTAAAACCCAACACATGGGCAGCAGTGGGGGCTCTTTTAATAGTCCCTAATGTCCTCACCCCATACCTACTGTGATGGCCACCCCGAGAGAAGAGGGTTTTCCACCACCAGAGATGTCCTTTCCCCTCAGTGTGAGTAGTGCTATAGCATTCCCAAGTAGATATCCAAGCTGTAAATAAAGTAGGTATAGCTGTTCCCTACAATCATAAGATGAGGCTTTGTGTTGAGGGTGAAGATGGACTGGTTTTAATGGGACCACACACAGCCTTTTATGTGAATCCTTATGCAAAAACATTTTCCAGGGGAATTCCCCACTGGACCTGAGAGGGGACAGACAGAAAGAACACAACATAACTATATTAACTCTCAGGTCCAGGACAAATATAGGAATAACCCCCCAAAACACCACTTTAACAGTGAGGTACCCCATCAAGTACTATATCCCTGGATAGTCTGGATCTGAGTACCCAACATATCCGAAAAGCGCTCAGATCCCACGAACGTAGCCAAATCGCCACCGGGGTATAGTTTAGATGGACTGCACACGAGGTACCTGCCGAAAAGAGTTCCAGAATATAACAATATAGGTGAATAAACTGTTTGTGTGTACACTCATCTTAGGTATCTTGTTTGTGGGTGTGCTCCACCCGAATGCTGCTCCTCCCAGACGAATGGAAATGAACATAGGTGGAATTGGAAGTCCCAGCAGTGTTCACGTCATCGAGTGTCCGATAGTTCCATACACTCGACGACCAAAAACCCAACAAGATGGCCACCGCCTCGTGTTCGTTCATACGTACGACGTCCACCCAGCCGTCCACTTAGAACGTTGAAGTGATTGCAGTTTGTGAAAGTGTTAGTGAGGTCAAGTGGTTTAACGAGCGGCACATGACTGTTCTGGGTGGTCCATGTGTTCGGTACTTTATTCGGCATACAAACCCAAATGGGGCAATCTGTTCAGTGAGGTTCATATACCGATCCAGGCAGTGAAAAGTAGTAATTTAGGAACAGGAATCTGTTACACCTATAATCTCCGATCCAGTACTAGCACTTTATTTAGCACAATACAATAAAAAGTGGTGTGATCCTTATTTTCCTACACAGCACCGCAATTGTGGAATAACCTCAGGGACACAGTCAAATCTTCATTCAATCTAAAATCCTTTAAGAGCTCTATGGCAATATACCTGAGCACAGAATGCACCTGTCATGGTTGGATACATGTATTACCTGTTATGTGTTAAATTTATATCTGTGTGTATGTATATATATATATTATGTTGTATTATTTTGTGTAATATTATATTGTACCCATTTGTAACAATGCAATGATTTGTGGACCCAGGACATACTTAAAAACAAGCAAAATCTCAATGTAGCCATCCTGGTAAAATATTTTATAAATAAATAGTCCAACCATTAGCTCAGGGGTCTAATAATTATACTGGAAGGGGGGGTGGACATGCCATTGTATACCACCACATTTGTGGCATTGTGCATCGTTCCTGGTCCACAATCCCCTTGCCACCCCCTCTAAAAAATAAGCCCTGGAGTTAAAGCATTTGGGTCCGGTTTTCAGTCATCCAGCGGCATTCATTACGGATAATTCCAGACTAAGTTTAGGCCCATTCAGTGCCTGAATTGCAATATCTGGATATTGCAGCCTGAAGGGCCCCGTACTCGGCTGCATGTGTTTACTTCTGTCGAACCGAACCAATGGGACTGTAGTGATTAACCATGAGTGCTTTCTATTACAGGCATGATGCTTGAGCCCCTTAGTTATTTGAGATGTTCATGATATAGTCATTGATATAAGAATATTACCACCATAAGAAAAAAACTTTACAGTTTTATTATACGTATTCATAAATCCTTCAAGAGGATCTCGGACATAGTTCTGCTCTCCGTCACTGATCACCATTCTACGTGCCACCATTCTACGTGCCACCAATCTACATGGGTCTTATTAATGATCGTATAAAGGATAGCCGGCAGTCTAGTGTAGCTTTCAGTCAGCATTGTAGATCAGCGTGGACACATCGCGTGGCGCCCTCCATCCACGGGGACAGTTACCCCTGTAATGAAGGAGGCAGCGTCTGAAGCAAGGAATGCAATCATGCGGGCAACTTCATCCACAGTTCCTGGGCGTCCCAGGGCGTGCGTGTGCTGAGTGCGCTGTAGGAACTGGTAAAGGAAAGGGTTAAACAAAGAATTAGTTGGAGGAAAGAGCATGGTGCGCGATCTCTATCTATAACATTACAGTGGCCACAGCAATCACAATCAGCCTGTAAAATGTATTTTAACAACTATAAGTACAGCAAATAAAATGGGGGAAATCGTCAATTCACAAAACAGATTTTTATTTAGAAATAAGAAAAAAATGTAAATGAAGTACAGATGTTGATTGTTGTTGTTTAATATGTGGGGCATTCATATGCAGAATAGTTAAGGGGTTTACAAAAGCAGGCATTACACAGGATCCCAGAATAATTGGTTTGCGCCCTCTCCCTGATAGATTGGCCGCAGACAGAGAACATTTCCTTATGTACAAAGAGAAAGTCGATCCCTGAACAGATATCAATCTGTCTAGCAAATGTATCCACCTTTCAGGAGATTGAATTTACATTACACACAGTGTCCCACTCTTTCCGTAGAGCTACGAATGTACAATGTAATAAAGTGACATACTCAAAGTACAGGCATATATGATGAGTACAGATAGTACCTGTGCGTATTGCTCGTCGTTTAGACCTGCTCTGCGATGGACATCCGTTATAATCACCCCGGGGCTAAAAGGAAACACAGTGACTTATATTTATACAATATAGGCACTCAATTCAGACATTCTACCCCAAAATCAAGATAAAACAGCACCAATAAGGGGAAAGAAAACATGGATCTATAATGTAGTTCATAAATAAATCAAGTAAACATGAAGAGGGGAAAAAATAATAAAAGATTTTAGAAAATATGCCGTCTATACCCATGGACACCAAAATAGCACCAAACAAGCACAGCAGGACACTCGTGCAACAACGTGCTATTCGCTTTCTGGAACGCTTTAGATGAACTACTCTTTATCAGTCTACAAACATTGACACAGGGTAGTTCACCTGAAATGTTTGTTAACACGTGTCCTACATTAAACCAGTAGCACTGGGAAACACAAGCACTCTGTCACTTGCCCTGTAAGCACTGAAAGCATTCGCCCTAAATAGGGGGAGCGTCACAAGGGTGGGAAATGCTTCAAAAAGGAATAACTCAAAACGAAATCTACTTTATTGAATAATCAAAACATTAACTGTGAAATGTGTTAACATTCACAATAACAGTAAAAAAAGATTTACTCTACAAAAATAATAAAGATGGGAAAATATTAAATATAGGTATGGTAAATCAAAAATGGATCCACTTTCGTTTGAACAAGCAAACAAATCAAAGTCTCAGTAGTTACAAACAAATAGTGTGGCATTGCCCTCTGCCCATACAGAAACAAAGTATTTATTTATACAATATACAGATAGCAAGCTTGATACATATCAATAACGGATGGCATTGCCCTCTGCCCATACAGAAACAAAGTATCTATTTATACGATATACAGATAGCAAGCTTGATACATATCAGTAATGGATGGCATTGCCCTCTGCCCATACAGAAACAAAGTATCTATTTATACGATATACAGATAGCAAGCTTGATACATATCAATAATGGATGGCATTGCCCTCTCCCATACAGATACAAAGTATCTATTTATACGATATACAGATAGCAAGCTTGATACATATCAGTAATGGGTGGCATTGCCCTCTGTCCATACAGATACAAAGTATCTATTTATACGATATACAGATAGCAAGCTTGATACATATCAGTAATGGATGGCATTGCCCTCTGCCCATACAGATACAAAGTATCTATTTATACAATATACAGATAGCAAGCTTGATACATATCAGTAATGGATGGCATTGCCCTCTGCCCATACAGATACAAAGTATCTATTTATACGATATACAGATAGCAAGCTTGATACATATCAGTAATGGGTGGCATTGCCCTCTCCCATACAGATACAAAGTATCTATTTATACAATATACAGATAGCAAGCTTGATACATATCAGTAATGGATGGTATTGCCCTCTGCCCATACAGATACAAAGTATCTATTTATACGATATACAGATAGCAAGCTTGATACATATCAGTAATGGGTGGCATTGCCCTCTCCCATACAGATACAAAGTATCTATTTATACAATATACAGATAGCAAGCTTGATACATATCAGTAATGGATGGTATTGCCCTCTGCCCATACAGATACAAAGTATCTATTTATACGATATACAGATAGCAAGCTTGATACATATCAGTAATGGGTGGCATTGCCCTCCCCCATACAGATACAAAGTTTCTATTTATACAATATACAGATAGCAAGCTAGATACATATCAGTAATGGATGGCATTGCTCTCTGCCCATACAGATACAAAGTATCTATTTATACGATATACAGATAGCAAGCTAGATACATATCAGTAATGGGTGGCATTGCCCTCTGCCCATACAGATACAAAGTATCTACTTATACGATATACAGATAGCAAGCTTGATACATATCAGTAATGGATGGCATTGCCCTCTCCCATACAGATACAAAGTATCTATTTATACAATATACAGATAGCAAGCTTGATACATATCAGTAATGGATGGTATTGCCCTCTGCCCATACAGATACAAAGTATCTATTTATACGATATACAGATAGCAAGCTTGATACATATCAGTAATGGGTGGCATTGCCCTCCCCCATACAGATACAAAGTATCTATTTATACGATATACAGATAGCAAGCTTGATACATATCAGTAATGGATGGCATTGCTCTTTGCCCATACAGATACAAAGTATCTATTTATACGATATACAGATAGCAAGCTAGATACATATCAGTAATGGATGGCATTGCTCTTTGCCCATACAGATACAAAGTATCTATTTATACGATATACAGATAGCAAGCTAGATACATATCAGTAATGGGTGGCATTGCCCTCTGCCCATACAGATACAAAGTATCTACTTATATGATATACAGATAGCAAGCTTGATACATATCAGTAATGGGTGGCATTGCCCTCTGCCCATACAGATACAAAGTATCTACTTATAAGATATACAGATAGCAAGCTTGATACATATCAGTAATGGGTGGCATTGCCCTCCCCCATACAGATACAAAGTATCTACTTATACGATATACAGATAGCAAGCTTGATACATATCAGTAATGGGTGGCATTGCCCTCCCCCATACAGATACAAAGTATCTATTTATACAATACACAGATAGCAAGCTTGATACATATCAGTAATGGATGGCATTGCCCTCGGCCCATACAGATACAAAGTATCTATTTATACAATATACAGATAGCAAGCTTGATACATATCAGTAATGGATGGCATTGCCCTCTGCCCATACAGATACAAAGTATCTATTTATACGATATACAGATAGCAAGCTTGATACATATCAGTAATGGGTGGCATTGCCCTCTGCCCATACAGATACAAAGTATCTATTTATACAATACACAGATAGCAAGCTTGATACATATCAATAATGGATGGCATTGCCCTCTCCCATACAGATACAAAGTATCTATTTATACAATATACAGATAGCAAGCTTGATACATATCAGTAATGGATGGCATTGCCATCTGCCCATACAGATACCAAGTATCTATTTATACGATATACAGATAGCAAGCTTGATACATATCAGTAATGGATGGTATTGCCCTCTGCCCATACAGATACCAAGTATCTATTTATACGATATACAGATAGCAAGCTTGATACATATCAGTAATGGATGGCATTGCCCTCTGCCCATACAGATACAAAGTATCTATTTATACAATATACAGATAGCAAGCTTGATACATATCAGTAATGGGTGGCATTGCTCTCTGCCCATACAGATACAAAGTATCTATTTATACAATATACAGATAGCAAGCTTGATACATATCAGTAATGGGTGGCATTGCCCTCCCCCATACAGATACAAAGTATCTATTTATACAATATACAGATAGCAAGCTTGATACATATCAGTAATGGATGGCATTGTCCTCAGCCCATACAGATACAAAGTATCTATTTATACGATATACAGATAGCAAGCTAGATACATATCAGTAATGGATGGCATTGCCCTCTGCCATACAGATACAAAGTATCTATTTATACGATATACAGATAGCAAGCTTGATACATATCAGTAATGGGTGGCATTGCCCTCCCCCATACAGATACAAAGTATCTATTTATACAATATACAGATAGCAAGCTTGATACATATCAGTAATGGATGGCATTGCCCGCCCCCATACAGATACAAAGTATCTATTTATACGATATACAGATAGCAAGCTTGATACATATCAGTAATGGATGGCATTGCTCTCTGCCCATACAGATACAAAGTATCTATTTATACGATATACAGATAGCAAGCTTGATACATATCAGTAATGGATGGGCAGAGGGCAATGCCATGGATTATTGATAAGTATCAAGCGTGCTATATGTATATTGTATAAATAGATAGCAGCATATCTTGGTGGCATCTTGGTTTCAATGGACACAGTAAGGCACATACTAAACACAGAAGGTTTCCATGCCAGAACTCCAAGATGTACATCACTACTGACCCAAAAGCACAAGAGGGCCTCAAGTCACACCAACAATCCAGGACTTATGGATTTTCTTTTTTTATTCTAATGGAAGACAAAAACTAGACTGTTGGTGGGTTGTGGTTTGGGAAACACTGATTTCAAATACCCCTCTTTAGAGTTTAGTTGGAATGGTCCAGACCTCCTCCCCTCTGTAAGTGCTGGCACATGGTCTGGTTAAGGAAAGTTAACTGGTTTACATTCTATAAGAAAACTAAAGTAATGGAAAAACACTTACCAAACAGCATTAACTCGAACCTGCTTACTGGCCAACTCTAACAATAAACCGGAAGAGAAACACAACTCAATATAATATATAATACATGATAAAGCACGCTGTATACAGAATATTATTATATATATGTATATATAATACACTACACCCCACTATAAACCACGCTATATTCTCAGATACAGTGATAGGTATATTGGTAAACCCATGATGAAGCCATAAAAAAAATGTCTTGATGATGACAGATCTTTAGAAATTAGAGAAATATTGGCTAATAAGTGATGTTACCCAGCGCTGCACATCTGGTCATCTGATCCACAGCGGATTTTGACATACAATAGGCCATGACTCCAGGAAACTGAAAGAGAGAAAGTAGAGATTGTTTTTAGCTTAAGATGGGATGTTATACACAGTGTGACTGTCATTGCTGGACGTCATGGGACCAGACACAGTGTGACTGTCATTGCTGGACGTCATGGGACCAGACACAGTGGGACTGTCATTGCTGGATACCGTGGGAGCGGACACAGTGACTGTCATTGCTGGACGTCATGGGACCAGACACAGTGTGACTGTCAGTGCTGGATGCCATGGGACCGGACATAGTGTGAATGTAATTGCTGGATGCCATGGGACTGGACACAGTGTGACTGTCATTGCTGGACGTCATAGGACCGGACACAGTGTGACTGTCATTGCTGGACACCATGGGATTGGACACAGTAAGACTGTCATTGCTGGACGTCATGGTACCGGACACAGTGTGACTATCCTTGTTGGATGCCATGGGACCGGACAAAGTGTGACTGTCATTGCTGGACGTCATGGGACCAGACACATTGTGATTGTCATTGCTGGATGCCATGGGACCGGACACAGTGTGACTGTCATTGCTGGACACCATGGGACCGGACACAGTGCGACTGTCATTGCTGGATGTCATGGGACCGGACACAGTGTGACTATCCTTGTTGGATGCCATGGGACTGGATACAATGTGGCTGTCATTGCTGGATACCATGGGACCGGACACAGTGTGACTGTCAGTGCTGGATGCCATGGGACCGGACACAGTGTTTGTAGTGGAGAGGTAGTATCATCCACCATATCTCCGCTGGTAGACAGGAACAGCATAGAATAATCCAGGTACAATAAGTATAAAATACAATAATCCTGGTAGCGTTGTATAAATCCTTCCTTCCCAAGAACTAGACGACACATAGGCTGGGAGTCAACTGAGGTTTTAATTGCAGGTCACAGTATTTATGTAGTTCCCCATGCAAGGGGTTTCCCTACTGACTTTTCATGGGTTGTACAGTAGGGGACTACATGGGGAACATAGCAACCAAGACATTTCTCCCACCTGCTGTACAAGAGGGATACTCCCACTAGAACATCCAGTTAAGTGGATTATCCCTCCGTGCAGCAGAACTGGCTTTTTACATAAAAATGTATACTATTAACATTATTCATGCTATTATACCGAATGACCATTCGGCAGATAGCTGGGGTCTGAGTGCATACTTCGTGAAAGTACCGCTCAGATCCCAGCACAATTAGCCGAACGCCACATGAAATATAATTAAACATAAATTTTTCAACAAAGGCACGAATAGACCAGCAGGGAAAATACCGAAAGACCAGTGCTCCTGAACAGCCTGGAAGACCAGCGTTATTCGTGCCGTCGAGTAGCCGATTTTAGTTCCAGGCACTCGACGACAAAATACCGCTGGGCTAACAAAGGATCCAAGATGGCCGACTGCCATGTGGTTGTATCCGAACGGCGGCCACCCTGAACATCCATTAACTATCGTTAGATACAATGTTGCGATACTTAATGGGAGCCACACGACCTCCTGTGTGTGGTCTCCCATTCGGTAGTTTGTTAGTTTCACGAACAGTGTTAAAATTCACTGTTCGTGAAACTAATATATGAATGCTGGTGGCTTTCATGCCGCCATCATACGAATGCTCTCGTTCGCATCAAATACAGACAAGTGAATATACTCAGTTCAGATAGCCTTAAAGCTTCAACATCACATTAATGGAAATACAGTCTTAAGTGGCCAGCTTTGCCACAGTGTGACTGTCATTGCTGGATACCATGGTAGCGGTCACAGTGTGACTGTCATTCCTGGATACCATGGGACCGGACACAGTGTGACTGTCATTCCTGGATACCATGGGAGTGGACACAGTGTGACTGTCATTGCTGGATACCATGGGACCGGACACAGTGACTGTCATTCCTGGATACCATGGGACCGGACACAGTGTGACTGTCATTCCTGGATACCATGGGAGCGGACACAGTGTAACTGTCATTGCTGGATACCATGGGAGTGGACACAGTGTGACTGTCATTGCTGGATACCATGGGAGCAGACACAGTGTGACTGTCATTGCTGGATACCATGGGAGCGGACACAGTGTGACTGTCATTGCTGGATACCATGGGAGCGGACACAGTGTGACTGTCATTGCTGGATACCATGGGAGCGGACACAGTGTGACTGTCATTGCTGGATACCATGGGAGCGGACACAGTGTGACTGTCATTGCTGGATACCATGGGAGCGGACACAGTGTGACTGTCATTGCTGGACGCCATGGGAGAGGACACAGTGTGACTGTCATTGCTGGAAACCATGGGAGCGGACACAGTGTGACTGTCATTGCTGGACGCCATGGGAGCGGACACAGTGTGACTGTCATTGCTGGATACCATGGGAGCGGACACAGTGTGACTGTCATTGCTGGATACCATGGGAGCGGACACAGTGTGACTGTCATTTCTGAACACCATGGGTCATCATGGGACACAGTGACTAGAATGTTCAACTATCAGTAAGATAGAGTGTTACAATGAACGAAGCTTGCCAAGGGTTAGTTACTAAACTACTGGGACTGACACCACAGACAGTTGAAATTAGCACATGGAAAGTGTATTTAGTGGAATTTAATATTCAGCTTAAGGCATAGAAACAGGCAACCTGTGTTGCTCCTATTTCATACCCAGGACGATAAAACTATACTTGCACTGGTGATAAAAGTAATCAAAATGAATTATTATTACAATACCCTCATTAAGGGTGGAAAATAGCCTGTGAGGCAAAAACTAACCGAAAATAAAACAAAGATTTATTTGCAGCCTTTATATCAGCTCTGTTTAACAAAATAAAACAAAACAGCAAAACAGAATAATTGGCTGCAATAAACGCCCTGAGCACAGAATATCTTATTGATATGTCAGACCATAACCTGCAGCAAGGATGACTTGTTTGTGATAACTTCAGAGGGTGCTCCGTCCTAACCGCCTGCCCTTACTGCACATTATTGCTGCTTCTATCGTATGCTAACCGGCAATTTGCTAACTGTGCCGCATATTTATGATAAAACATTATGGGGCTTATTAAATTTACCTTCAAAATCTTAATTGATTAACATATATAAAGTAATGTATTCATAGGCGTGCGCAGCCTGTTGTATAAGTGTGTGCACCCTAAAGCACAAACACACATGCCGCGTGTATATATATACACATACATACATACACACACACACATACTGTTGTTTGAGGGTGCTGTGTGGGCGCTGTGTGTGTGAGGGCACTGTGGGTGTGTTAAGGCGCTGTGTGTGTGTGTGCAGGCGCTGTATGTGTAAGGGTGCTGTATGTGTGTGTAAGGGTGCTGTATGTGTGTGTAAGGGTGATGTGTGTGTGTGTAAGGGTGATGTATGTGTGTGTGATGTTAGTGTGTTTGTGTAAGGGTGCTGTGTGTAAGGGTACTCTGTGTAAGGGTGCTGTGTATGTAAGGTTGCTGTGTGAGTAAGGGTGTTGTGTATGTAAGGGTGCTGTTTGTGTAAGGGTGCTGTATGTGTGTATTGTGTGGGGTGGGGGGACCATTTAGTTGATATCCCCCCTCCCTTCTTACCTTATGTAGGGAGGGGGGGACTGTGCTGCTGCCATCCCTGATGGTCCAGTGGTAAGTGAACTCTAGCCCCGCAACCTGCGGGGCTAGAATTCACTCTCGTGAGATCTGAGCGTTGCAGCGGCTGCACTCTAACCTCGCGAGAGGAACCCATCGGAGCTGCTGGCAAGAGATCTGCTCTTAGAGCTTTGTTAATGAAGCACGATGGCCGTGATTTTATATTTTTGAATAACTTTCCCATGAGTTAATATTTGAAAAAATATGTTAATATTTCCATTTTTTACTTTTATATACTGATTTCTTTCTATGATAACTTTTTTTGATCATAACATTTTTAAACAAAATATATATATATTTTAAAAGTTTATCAAAAAATCTTAAATTATTTGAAAATCCTAAATTGAGGCGAATTCATGGTTAATGTAGTGAATGTATGTAACATTGTGATAAAAGAGAAATTAGAATTTCATTATCTCTGAAGAAAGATGTCACCAACATATGAAACATTCTTTTCAAATAGTTTTTAATATTTTTATAAAATGATAACAAATATTAATTAAATGGATAAAAGTGAGTTCACAAAAAAGAGTGATTAATAAGGAGAATTTAAATCCACAAATATATATTCAAACTGTACAATTAATTAATTTACAAAATAATATCAAAAATAAAAATAAGATTGTAAACATGCGTATAGTAAATTGGCACAATGTGTATCATTGCTTGGTCAGTGCCATTATTGTGAAGCTTTTTGTAACATTCAGTTTATGTTATGAATCAATTAGCTTTATACAGAGAATTGTGGAACACAACTGCAGAATTAAGAACAAGGGGTTTCCAATATAATTTCAAAAGAGGTTTTATTATCTCTTATAGAATCAGTTCAAAACAAATAGTCTCTTTCTTCCAGAATTGCATTAATGAAGAAAGAAATAAATCGTTTGCATGAAAAAGTATTTTCAATAATAAAGTCCTCTTATATATTAATCGGTTTCTAGGATCAATTAATCTTCAGAGAAAAATGAATGGCAGTTGGAATTGATTTTCCTTTCATGATGGTGGTAGTAATAATTATACTTGATTAGTAAATAGCAGCAATGGTTAAACTTATATGCTGGTTATAACAGTATGTATATCATTGTTTAGTGAAATCTCCTTAATTGCAGGTTATAGTAATATTTATAATTGATAAGTGAAATCTCCTTAATTGCAGTTTGTAGTAAGTAGTAAGTAGTAAGTTGATACTTATGGTTTTTGCAGAGAGTCCTGCACGTGTAGCAAGGATGGTAAAGATCTACAATTGGTTGTTTGGTTTGTAAGTAGCTACAGGAATCCTTGTAGATTACAGCAACAATGAAGAACGAAAGTTTGTGGTTGCAGCAGCGATACAGAAAGACTAAGCGTGGAGACAGAGGTAGGTTCAAAATAACTCAGCAATTAAAGTTTGGCGCGGCTTGCCTATAAAGCCAATTGAATAGAGCGTCGTCATAAGTGGAGGAGCTTACTTCGGAACGCGAAAGTAACTTTGCAGAGCGAAATCTGGCTAATTACATGGCAGTTTACAACAAACAGTACATATAAAAAAACAAAAGACTATTAGGTGTAAAAGAATGTGTTTTGTCAGAATAGACATGTCTTTCATAAGCATTACATACTGTCAGTCAGATACTGACTGGTTCACCCAGCAAATAGTCAGACACAAAGAGAAAAGGAGGCAAAAAGATGAAAAATAAATAAATCTATATTGTATAACAAAAGTGCAGAGGGGACATACCGGCTGACTGAGTTCCTGAGGTTAATCACTGCATTAGGCAGACATGTAAATAGGCAGAGCTATGAGATGTAAAAACAGACGAGAAGAGTCTGCGCTAAATAACAGGAGTATAAATATAAGCAGGAACCCTAAAAAGGGAATCCCTTGATAAAACTAAAACTAACTAAAATGGTAAAAGTGGGTAAGGGCTGCGCTAAAAGCTAAAATACAGTAGTCCATAACAGTAGAGGCCAGACCATATGGTCTCAAGTGGACAACACCAAAAAACGTCCCTATGGAAATCAACAGAAAAAGAGAGTCCTCCCAGGTGGTAAAATGTTCAATAAGATAAAAAACAAATAATGAAATGTCTCACTGGTATAGCTGGATACGATATGTGTACAGTCCTCAGGAGTTGATCCGTCCGGGTTGTAAACTAATCCGTATATGTGAAAACAAAAATAAAAAGACAACAGACTGCCAATAGTGAAATGTTGTAAATCCAAGGAAAAATGAATAAAAGGAAGATAGTACACTCACATTTGGAGGAGCTTAGGCCAGCTCTAGGATGGAGGGCGTTAAGCGGTATGACCCCGCTAAGGGATATATTGAAGAGGTGCGTCTGTCTGTCCAGCTTTGGTTTAGTCGTATTCCACAATATATAAAAGACAGCAATAGTGCTCTCAGTTGGAAATGATAATTAAAATAATAAAAAATAAAATATACTCACAAGTGTAGAGCAGAGAAACGCAGCACTGGTGGAATAATCCCCACCTAGGATTTCTTGAATTAGGAAACAATAAAAATGCCAGGAAAAATAAGAATAAAAAGGTGTATACAATAAAATGAGGGTTGGTCCTATAAAAAAGGTAACCAAAAAAACTTTTATTGTTTAAAATACACAATGTAAAACCATTAACGCGTTTCACCTTTAAGGCTTTATCAAAATGGTAATATAACATTGTACCTGGCATAAAACAGTATTTATAAGGTATGTAGTAGTTAAAATTGGCGGCAAAAAACTGATTAGCCAATTAAAAACACATATTCCGAAACATAATTAAAACATTATTAAAAACAAAGTCATATTTATACTGAGCAATGCAATAAGTTAATATGAACTGTGTAGTGTAATTATATATAAAAAACTAAATTTGTATATAGAGATATTTGTAAAATAATACGATCACATGACCGGAGCTAGGCTCCATGGGAAATGTAGTTATATTGGGGAGGGCGACACGCGGCAAATTGCTCGCTATATTAGATGGTATTAAACCATCTAATATGGAGCTCGTAGAGTAAACTTTGATTGGACCATTTTAACCCTATCTAATTGTATCCAAACAAAGACTTCTCACAGAATAGCCTTTAATTGGACCATTTACTGGCCCAGATCGCATGCTCGCAATGTGAATCTGTAAAGGTAGAAGGAAACGGAGGGAAAGGAGGAGGAGGGAAGGCTTGGATTGTGATGAGTAAGTGCTTCCCTCAGTATGGCAGAGAGGGCACAACAGAGCTTCTCCCTTGCAGGCTGTGTCTGTCTGTGTCATTCACCTGCAGCTCCCACACCGCGCTTCACTCCTCAATCCCTTTGTGACACATGCAGGGTCCTCTGGCGTGTTTACCGCCAAAGAGGGAAGGCCGGCATCCTCTCCCTGAACAGAAGCAGTGATGCGGCTCTTCCTTCCTTGCAGTACATAAAAGATCTGCTGTTTATGTCTTGGTGCAAGATACCACAGGACACGTTCAGAGAGATGGAGTCCATGCCTTGAGGCATCAGAGATGTTTTGGCAGCACAAGGGGGAGCTACACGATGTTAGGCAGGACGTTTCAATGCTGTGGCTGATCAGTGTATAGTCACTCACACAACATGGCTCCATATACAGAGATCATTGCACAGTCTGTAATATTGCCACTGGCTCAGCATGGTATATACAGTAGTTCCCTTATCCCCACTGACTATTTATTTTCCTTTAAAAGCCTTCAATCAGTAACTGCTGTCTAGGTAAGCCCAGTGGCTCCAACCATCCATGTGTTGAGTTCTGCATACATAGAACTCAGATATGATCCCATGGCTGACCTACACCCACAGATAACACTCAACTCCCTTGTAGGTTTCCGCTTTCCTGTGACAGATATTGGAATATGTGTCAATTTACCCCTACAAACTGCCCTATTTACCCTGCAAAAAAACTGCCCTGAGAAAAAAACAAAAAACGCATCCATGCTCCATGCCACGGGAGAGGGGTTCAACTCATTATAAAAACAAACAATTAATACTGATTGTCATTCCCAAGAAATACAAATCACAAAGGAATAGCCACATAAATAAAGTAAAAATAAGATTTATAAGAAAAAAAAAAAACTAAATGCATTGACACAGTGAACACCAGAGAGAAAAATACAAAAATAAACCACGAGGTGTACTAGATTTCTAAGGCTAATCAATCAGAATTCACAGCAGCAACTTGTATCCAGAAGAAACAGAAAAGTAAATGTAACGGACCGTTTTGCCCACAAGAGGTTAAAAACCGTTTAGGCGATATTCCCCTTTCAGATGCACAGGCATAGCTACTGTCGACACCAATCCACTGAACCGGAGAAGCATGTGAATGCTGTAAACAGCCGAACCGGAACCATACGCATGCTGTAAACAGCCGAATAGGAAAAACCATACGAATAGGTTTACACTCCTAGCAGTCAAACTGGAACAGCATACAATAAATCCTCCCAAGAACGAGACAAAGCTCAGTGTTGAGGATCAAGCAGTGAATAGACAGAGCTGTGGGTTTATTGTTCTTATATACACATTAGTACCACCCACAGGGTTTTGGAAAACAACCAATAAACATGTACAATACACTCAGACACTCCCACACAAAATCCTCCCCTCTGCCTGTGATACAATTACCTTACACAATGGGTAATGTAATTATCACAAGCAGAGAAATACAATTTTTCCACAATATTCATAACTTGAAAAGTATGCATCACGTTCACATAAAACTTACATTTTCAGAATCAGCATACTCCAAATACAAACATACTTCAAAATCATCCAAATTGATCCAGTGGTTCAAAAGATAGATCGTAGTCCTTTGTGACCAAAGGAAGCATGGCTTTTCTGCACAAAACCAGTTCCACAGAGTCTTCTATCCTGGAGATAATTGGGAAGTAATCCAATTATCTCCAAGGACAGAGGCAAAACTCCATTAAGCACATGGCAGTAAAAAGACAGTAAAATACAATAAAATACACAAGGTTACATTTATTACATAAAATACAGACATGCAACATATCCCCAGATAGCTCAGATCTGAGCGCACATTATTAATGAATGGCGCTCAGAGCACACACATACAGTTCAACTGCCATGGAGCCAAAGTCTTTCCCATAGTCTTTCATTATACGAATGGGCTCCATGGCATAGCTATCTGGGTTAAATTAGTTCATTCAGTAAATCCGAGGATCTACCGAACGCCAGGGCAGAAATACAGGAATAGACCTTTCTGCATAGGAAAATAAAGTATTTAAATGCCGGTCCATAGTCAAAAGGCAGCAGGCAGGCAACCAGTCTCCTCCAATGCACAGTGGCAAGATTGGTCTCGTCACAGTAAATAAAGTAACTTTTAACTACAAAGAAGGGAATCTGTTGCTAAATGTTGTAATATCTGGGGGAGTAGTTAGTTACAAAGACTATGCTAGAAAAACGTTCTAAAGCTAAATATAATACCCTGTACAAGAGGCTAAGTGCTAATTATCAGGGTTTTAAAGTAGATAGCCTCTTGCATAGGGTATTCTTTTAATTACGGTTACCCAAAATAGTGTAAAACACTACAATATATGTTGGCGCCAAATGAATGATGATCATTTTACAATAAATGGATAAAGGAACACTGCGGATGGAAGTTAGAGGAAATGACGAGGCGATCTATAATGTGATACAGGATTATTACCTGAACCAAGTGACCTCTTAACACAAAATAAACCATAAACCACAAATACCTGCCCACTTAATGCGCAGGATAGCTACATGATATCAATTCGGCAGACTTGGCTGAGATGTCGATCAGATAATGCGCAGGATAGCTATATGGCATCAATACAGCAGACTTGACTGAGATGTCGGGCAGATAATGCACAGTATAGGCATATGACATAAATCCGGCAGACTTGGCTGAGTTCTCGAGCAGATAATGCAGAGGATAGCTACAGGACATCAATTCGGCAGACTTGACTGAGATGTCGGGCAGATAATGCACAGTATAGCTATATGACATAAATCCGGCAGACTTGGCTGAGTTCTCGAGCAGATAATGCACAGAATAGCTACATGACATCAATACGGCAGACTTGACTGAGATGTCGGGCAGATAATGCACAGTATAGCTATATGACATAAATCCGGCAGACTTGGCTGAGTTCTCGAGCAGGTAATGCACAGGATAGCTACATGACATCAATACGGCTGACTTGACTGAGATGTTGGGAAGATAATGCATAGGATAGCTACATGACATCAATTCGGCAGACTTGACTGAGATGTTGGGAAGATAATGCATAGGATAGCTACATGACATCAATCCGGCAGACTTGGCTGAGATGTTGGGAAGATAATGCATAGGATAGCTACATGACATCAATCCGGCAGACTTGGCTGAGATGTTGGGAAGATAATGCATAGGATAGCTACATGACATCAATCCGGCAGACTTGGCTGAGATGTTGGGAAGATAATGCATAGGATAGCTACATGACATCAATCCGGCAGACTTGGCTGAGATGTTGGGAAGATAATGCATAGGATAGCTACATGACATCAATCCGGCAGACTTGGCTGAGATGTTGGGAAGATAATGCATAGGATAGCTACATGACATCAATCCGGCAGACTTGGCTGAGATGTTGGGAAGATAATGCATAGGATAGCTACATGACATCAATCGGCAGACTTGGCTGAGATGTTGGGAAGATAATGCATAGGATAGCTACATGACATCAATTCGGCAGACTTGGCTGAGATGTTGGGAAGATAATGCATAGGATAGCTACATGACATCAATTCGGCAGACTTAGCTGAGATGTCGAGCAGATAAAGTGCAGGACAGTTGTATAAATATGATATCTCGAGTTTCTGTGTTCAAGGAGGACCACTCCAAGTCTAACTTGAGATATGCAGATAATGCATAACAATGCATTTTTTTGTATTTGTTGAATCGTGATTCTTATGAATGAAGCAATTTCCCAAAATTCAGACAAATTCACTGTAACGAACGCTGGAATAGCAGATACCCGTTCTCCTATTTCCCCCTGAATTGTTAAAGCCTGAGTGATTATAGCTCGCAGTTCGGGTGTTGATTCAAACGATCATCCATACGAATGTCAGCCTCCCACATGTATTCTCCCAGCAAAGTAGACAGGTACCTAAACATCAGTCAAAACTAGATAAAGGGTGTAACAGGAATGATTTTAAATGGTGTCATGCAAGATCTTATGCAAGTCCCCATGCAAGGGGTACTCCCACATGGACCTTGTAGGGGACTCCAACACAAAGTTATAAACCAATAACATCAGGGTTACAAATTATGACTCCCATAAGAAACATACAATCCCTCCTCCCTGCCAGGGAGATAATTAAGTCTAACTCAATTATCTCGAGGCAGAAAAAACAAATTTTTCACAAAACGTAAAAAGTACCCCCCAAACACATACAATCCCCATAAATGTTACATCCCCTGTAAGCCCTGATGTGGGTGACCAACATATCCAAAAATCACCCAGACCAGTTCAGGGGTTTAGGAGTTTCATGGAGATGTTAATTTGATCGACCGCACACAAGGCTCTTGCCCAGAAATATTTCCATGAGTTTGGATTGTGTGGTCGGTCTATTTCGTAAAGTATGAAATCAAATCCACGAAAAGTACACCCTAGCTCATAGTATTGTTTGTTCCCCTAGTTCGTGGGAACAAAACTCTCGAACAGCACTCTCCTGGCTGGTCGGGGAAAGGAAGCAGGTGTTTGCAAAGTTTGACCGGTATTCGGAAAGTCGAGTGTCCGATTTTAGTTCCATACACTCGATGACCAAGTCCCGCTGACTCCTTTCTTGCGAACAAGAGGGCCGCCGTTTTCTCCTGCACGTGACGTTCGACTATACAAAGGAGAGCACTTAAGTCACAGTTCTCTTTGAAGTTAATGAGACAGGGGGTGGTCAGTCTTCAGTAGTTTCAACTACCGAATGGAAAAAAATGACAAAGTACCGAAATAACAGGCTAATTTCATCACATTCACTTTCATCTGAAAATGAACGCACCAGTCCATCATTCACTTCACAAATCCATCCAATCATTCATAACAGGTGTCCTAATAAATGTGTACTTACCGACCTCTGTCCGTTGACGCTAGATACGTTGACAATGCTGCCCTTGGTCTGGATAAGATGTGGCACAGCCAAGTGAGTGAGATAGAATATTGCTCTGTAATACAGGCAAGAAACAAGGAGCATTGTATCCTCTCTGTATTATAGCCAGAAAAACATATTACACGAAAGTTTAGCACAGCATCAGGTCCTGCAGATCCTGGAGACATAATGCAGACTTTATAAAATATTCTCTGTAGGAAACAGAATAAAAGGGGACTAGACAGAAACATTTTCATATTTGTAACATTTTTGTGTGCATGTGTAATTTTCTGATTTATAAAACGTTCTGTAATGCACTGAAACGATCAATATCGCCATCATTTGACATTTCTCCCCCAGTTTTGCCTCCTGTTTTCTGATAATTTTACCATTACATTCATAGAATAAGACAAATGTGTAATATTCGTAGGAAAAAAATAAGTTTTTTTTCGCAATTTGAAAGACTTTTTTATTCCTTAAAAGAGAAATGAAGACTGTGGTTATCTCTCTCTGAAAATCCCCACTCTGACAGGTGAGGAGCATTTATTAGAAAGGTAGGGTTCACTTTTCCTATTTTTTATACATTGAAAGTGATAAAAGTTTGAACAAACAAAAAGAGGAAACAAAGTTGAATGGGGACAATCATGGAAGGGGTAGACCAAGGAATATATTGGATTAAGTAAGGAAATAAATGGGCTCTTTACAAATAACCCATGGAGTTAAATCAAATGTCCCCTTTTTACGTCGTTTTCCCATTTATCCCAGTAATACCCAAGAGGTTCCAGCAATTTCAAAGGTTGCTGGATGGTTAACTCATATTCTTTATTTTCTAAAACTAACACAACCACCTCTTTGATTGAAGGAATGACAGGCGACTTCACATTTCTGCATTCACTGTTTCTCATATTTATTATGACACACCGAGACCATAACTACCAGTTCTAATGATCGCTTTCATTATTGAAGCAATGACATGTGACACACGATGGACATCCTCCTCCCCTACCCCCTAAGTTACATTTTGGATGTTTCTTGTACAATGCACTCATTGCCTTTTCAGTTCATGGAACAAGTTACTTTGCTCTAAGATACAACATGGACCGATATGTAAATATTCCCAATACTATATGTTGCATCCTGTCTTACTATATGTTCACGTATCTCGTGTTATACATTCATTGCATCATTTTGTTAATTATTCTTTTTATATGGTAAAAAAAACCAATTTCAATAATAAATATTTGAAAGGACTAAATAGGCTGAAAACAGAGAGTCCCAGAAAATCAGCTTAAAGAGTGTCTAAACTTTGTGTGTTGTGTTGGTTATCAGGGCCAGGTAGGTATACACATAACATCACCTACTGGAACTTACCTTGCCTGTGGATAGTACACTAAAAGCAGGTCATAAGTCGCCATTCTGGACACGGACTGCAAGCTGAGAAGGATTGGGTTTATGCAGAGATTTATTGATTAATCCAGAAAAGGACTGATCTGGCAATGGGCAGCAGTGTCTTTGCCCCACAACCAGTACAATAAATGTTGTAGTTATGATGCACCAAGCACCCTTTAACCTTTTCGCTATTTTAGTTTTATCTTAAAAAAAAAATAAAATAAAATGATATAGCATTTCATTAATTTTCCAGTTTGGGTTGATATCTTACCTTACATTGATATTCATCACTCGGTCAAAGTCATCCAGGGTTGTGTTTTCTATTGTACCCATGGTTAAGATTCCACCACTGTTCACCAGCACGTCCAACTGCCCAAAGTATGCAACGGTCTCCTCCACCACGCGGCGTACCACAGCTTCATCCACCAGATCTCCAGAGACCAGCAAGGGCTGTGTGGGGACAAGGAGAATGAATGTGTCAGGAGCAATGGATTAATTCTATCTATTACCCGAACAGGTCTCTAATTCTATATAAAACATCTTGCTGTAATACCTGTTCTGCACCCTTGTCTTAAGCACTACTTGTGGACCCCTAAATACTGGAACAGGGTGCTAAGAACCTCCGGGATAAATGGTAGATGGGGCATGGGTTGCTGTGTATGCAGGATCCTCACCTTTGAATACAGAGTTACTGTGTCAGTTACCCAACAACGCTTTTACAGTGTACATGGCTGTAACGTGAACCCACCTTTAACCTCTTTCACAGTGCCTTTTACTAGCCCCCAACAAGTTACATTCATATTCAGGAGACTTTTAAACCACAGCTATTATTCAGAGAAACGTCCACGCTTCATCCTTTATCACAGGAAACGAAAACCTGGAATGATCCTTCATGATATGTAAATTAATTGCCATAAGACTTCAATTTTATAAACCCATGAATTATACTATTATTAAGTCACATATTATTATTATTATTATTATTATTATAATTATTACGTTACAGATTATTAATTACTATAATTATTAGTAGTAGTAGTAGTATTTCATATTATTATGTCATGGGTTATTAATATTATTAAGTCACATATTATTAATATTATTATTAAGTCACTGATTATTACTTTTATTAAGTCACATTATTATTATTATTATTATTATTAAGTTACAGATTATTAATTATTATTATTAGTAGTAGTAGTAGTAGTAGTATTTCATATTATTATTATTATTATTATTATTATTATTAAGTCACATATTAATATTATTATTATTATTATTATTACTATTATTATTATTAAGTCACATATTAATATTATTATTATTAAGTCACAGATTAATATTATTATTATTATTATTAAGTCACAGATTAATATTATTATTAAGTCAAAGATTCAGGACAGAAGGGGAGTTTAGGCGTCAAACCTTCTGCTCGCTGAGCTGCTCACAGGCATTTGCCGTTTCCTTCAGCTTTTCCTCATTCCTCCCATTTAGGGCCAGACGGGCCCCTAGACGTGCAAATAGCAGTGCAGTTCCGGCTCCAATCCCTGAGCTGGCTCCCGTCACTAAACACACTTTACCCCTCAGAGAAACAATCTGAAACGAGAGAGATCACTTCATATTAATTAGGGACATTTGTATGGCATTGTCAATACCAGTTCCAATTCTAGATATTATAAAAGATTTGTATTTTACAAAAAATGCAGATTTCAACAGACGCTTTTAAATATTGACCTTGTTGCACCTCCAAACACCTGGTCTGGTTACTTCCTGGTTTGGTTAGCTCAGTTGAGATAAACTCAAGAGGCAGAAATGGCCCAGAGCACCTGCCTTGCAAAGACTTCTCATTGAGCTGCATTGGGAGCCTGTGACTGGACAGATACAGAAAGTTTGGCAGGGGTTGGAAGGGGAGAGCTTGCAAAGGCTGCAGACAGAAGAACTGCAGGTTTTGTAAGCGTTTCTAGATATAACTCCAATGAAAGAATACATACGGTAATTAAATGCATGCATGTCTTCATATATTTTCTAAACAGTGATTTATTTATTTTGTATTTTGGGCATTGGAGTCTCCCTTTAATTTAAAGTAAATTTGATGACATTCAAGATACACGAAGGAAAGATTGGGTGTAAATTGGGGAAAGAGATAAAGATCTGGTGGTCTTCTTCGGAGACACGGACATTAAATTCGGAGACACTGCAGGCTAAGGTGCACGTGAAACCACTGGACCACCAGAGATTGCAGTGATATGTCCTCTCCTTCCAGGAAAGAGGAAGAGGTAAGAAGGAGGGGGGGGGGAGGCACATAAATTTTTTTGCCATCTTTTTAATTTAAAAAAATAGAGATTTTGTGGCAGGACCGCTGTCTAACTGTGAATTGCCCTTTCCTTGTGTGTGGATGTGCCCTTCTGGAATGTGTGCCCCTCCTTTGTAATGTTACCCCTTTCTGTAATTATGACCTTAAATCATGCAAAGTACCTTTTAACCACACAGGGGCGCTCTGGCGCACAGAGTTCTGTGCCCGGACCACCCCGATACTCCATTTAGAAAGTTTACTTAGAATGTTCAAACCTCGCTAACAAGGTGTGAAAACCACAGACTGCAGGCCTCAAGGGAACAAGCGGCGCGTGCTTCCCCTGGGTGGCCGCCAGGGGGAGCATTCATCTCCCAAACTGGCCTTTTTTTTGGCACGGTTTTCGATCCCAATAGTCACTTTTACCTCCCCTACCTGGCAGCTACGAGGCTAGACTCGTGGATGCCGAGGAGAACACTCTCTCAGGTGGATACCTGCATGGGGTATCCACTGGAAAGAGGGACGTGCACCAGTAGGGAATCTCTGGAGCTGTGAGTTGGTCTTACAGTTGCAGGGTCCCGTTGGCCACGTGGAAGTCCGTGCTAACCAATAAGAGAAGGAGCACCCATTCAAACTGCATTCGCGCCATTCTCCTGGTTGGTCGGCATGAGTAAGCGCTGCTTGGTAAGCGAAGCCCTCTAGTCCATAGGTGCTGATAGGCACGAATTTCTTTTGCGCCTTTCAGCGGATTGGTGCAATAAGGTTTCGCACCCTTTCGTCTGATTGGCCCGCGAAATCCCTCTCCTCCCCAAACGCCGATGGGCGCAACTGAGTTTTGCACTCTTTCTTCGGATTGGGTAGCGAAACTCCTTCCTCTCCCGAGCGCTGATTGGCGCGATTTGGTTTGCGCCCTTTCAGCCAATTGGCTGTTGCTTGGCGCAAAGTTTGAATTCGCCTGGCTAAACCAAGCAACTCCATGGATCTACTTTCAGGGATGTACAGAGCCTCGAGCCCCCGACTTTGAAGGCTGCTATCTTGGGCTCTTTAATAAGTTATCAATGTAAGTTTCAACCCTGTAACCCCTTCCTGTCCCGAGGCACTGAGCCTCAAACTTCGCTTCCCTGTATGTAATGTGTTTTTATGTGTGTCCCTGTGTCCTGTTGGTGTCTTCCAGAGCGGGAGATGGTTATATGCAGCCCAGCCCCCTTCTGCCTAGGATTGTGTTGTGTTGGATGGAGTCTGTGTATAAAAAGCTGTGTGCCCAAATAAAGACAGTCAAAGGTTGTACCCTGGAACTGTGGGTCATCCAGTTACTGGGGGAAATGGGTCTGACCTATTATTAATAAAGGGAATAACCAGCCGGGTTACCCAGGGCCGCTACAGATTTTATCCCTGATCCCGGCCAACCACAATATAGACCCCTGACACACGCTACACTACCTCACACACATACTGCACCCCTCACACACAAATACCCTATATCCCCCTCACACAAACACACTGAACCCCACCCCCACACACAGAACCCTCACACAAACACACTGCATCCCCCACACACACAGAACCCCTTACACAAACACACTGCACCCCCCACACACAGAACCCTCACACAAACACACTGCACCACCTCAAACACACACATAACCCCTCACACAAACACACAGCCCTCAATTGCACACTGCACCCCTCTCTCTCACACACACACACACTGCAGCCCTCTCTCACACACATACACACTGCAGTCCTCTCTCACACACACACACACACTGCAGCCCTCTCTCACACACACACACTGCAGTCCTCTCTCACACACACACACACACTGCGAGTAGCAACATCATCAATACCAGCTAACATCACACCAAAGAGAATCAGTTCCAGCCATCACATTAGGAATGACTTAATTAAATGTTTGAACAAATATAGCAGGATAATTTTGATAATTTTGTACGGCCAGAAAATTATGTTTTAAATATCCAAATGTCCCTTGGCAGATAAAAGGAGAGAGAGAGAAGGCCTGCAGGGCAACTGTTTCTGATTTGTATAATAATAATAATAATAATAATAATAATAACAACAATGTGCATGCACTCTCTGTGTGAGCTATGGAAACACTGGATACAATGTTACTGATTAGAATAATAATAATAATAATAATAAGATGTGTGCACTCTCTATGTGAGCTATGGAAACAGTGGATACAATGTTACTGATTAGAATAATAATAATAATAATAATAATAATAATAATAATAATAAGATGTGTGCACTCTCTGTGTGAGCTATGGAAACACTGGATACAATGTTACTCTCACCTGATCTCCACTTTCTGCCATTTCTGGCTTGGGAAGGACTTTGTACAGGTTTTTTTTTTTTTTGCAACTTTATTTACAGTTTGTACAGTAAACACATTAACTCTTAGTGAGAGAAAGCTGTGTGTGTCATACTGAGAGGGACAGAGTGAGTGATAGCTGTGTGTTATACAGAGAGGGGCAAAGTGAGAGATAGCTGTGTGTTATGTGGAGTGAGAGATAGCTGTGTGTGTTATACTTAGAGGGACAAAGTGAGAGATAGCTGTGTGTTATACAGAGTGAGAGATAGCTGTGTGTTATACTGAGAGGGACAGAGTGAGAGATAGCTGTGTGTTATACTGAGAGGGACAGAGTGAGAGATAGCTGTGTGTTATACAGAGTGAGAGATAGCTGTGTGTTATACAGAGAGGGACAAAGTGAGAGATAGCTGTGTGTGTTATACAGAGTGAGAGAAAGCTGTGTGTTATACAGAGTGAGAGATAGCTGTGTGTTATACAGAGTGAGAGAAAGCTGTGTGTTATACAGAGTGAGAGATAGCTGTGTGTGTTATACTTAGAGGGACAGAGTGAGAGATAGCTGTGTGTTATACAGAGTGAGAGATAGCTGTGTGTTATACTTAGAGGGACAGAGTTAAAGATAGCTGTGTGTTATACTGAGAGGGACAGAGTGAGAGATAGCTGTGTGTTATACAGAGTGAGAGATAGCTGTGTGTTATACTGAGAGGGGCAAAGTGAGAGATAGCTGTGTGTTATACAGAGAAGGGCAAAGTGAGAGATAGCTGTGTGTTATACAAAGTGAGAGATAAATGTGTGTTATACGGAGAGGGACAGAGAGAGAGATACCTGTGTTTTATACAGAGTGAGAGATAGCTGTGTGTGTGTTATACAGAGTGAAAGATAGCTGTGTGTTGTACAGAGAGTGTCAGAGAGAGCTGTGTGTTTTATAGAGTGTCAGAGAGAACTGAGTGTTATACAGAGAGTGTCGGAGAGAGCTGTGTGTTATACAGAGAGTGTCGGAGAGAGCTGTGTGTTTTATAGAGTGTCAGAGAGAGCTGTGTGTTTTATAGAGTGCTGTGTTGTAGTATGGTTTTGTTCCTTCACAGAGGAGATTAGAATGGATCGGTTAAAATAATGTTAAAATGTTCTGTTTTCTGTGTGTTTTTTCACTGTTTAGTGAATAAGCCCTCTAACCCGGTCTCTGCAGGCCATATATTTATGGTTGTAGTCTCTCTCTACAGAGCAAAACTCCCATACAAAGCATCCTGTCTGCACAGCTTTCACTTTCATTCTGACTGTCTGTTCTTTGTATTCCAGCCCACATTGCGATGACAGAGGGGAGACCTAATGAGAGAAGGAGAGAGTAACGGAGGAAGACAGACTGACCAGAGACACCGACAGCAAAGGTTTACAGAGAAAGATCAGCAAAAAGGTGCAGAATAAAAAGAGAGAGAGAGAGACAGTAAGCAGGCCAAGAGAGAAATACGGTATCAGTGAGAGAGACAGCGACAGAGAGAGACAGCAAACAAACAGAGAGAGAAATACGGTATCAGTGAGAGAGAGAGAGAGAGAAAACACAGAGAGAGAAACACGGTATCGGAGAGAGAGAGAGAAACACGGTATCGGAGAGAGAGAGAAAACACAGAGAGAGAAACACGGTATCGGAGAGAGAGAGAGAAACACGGTATCGGAGAGAGAGAGAAAACACAGGGAGAGAAACACGGTATCGGAGAGAGAGAGAAACACGGTATCGGAGAGAGAGAGAAACACGGTATCGGAGAGAGAGAAACACGGTATCAGAGAGAGAGAGAGAAACACGTATCGGAGAGAGAGAGAGAAACATGGTATCGGAGAGAGAGAGAAACACGGTATCGGAGAGAGAGAGAGAGAAACACGGTATCGGAGAGAGAGAGAGAAACATGGTATCGGAGAGAGAGAGAGAAACATGGTATCGGAGAGAGAGAGAAAAAACAGAGAGAGAAACACGGTATCAGAGAGAGAGAGAGAAACACGGTATCGGAGAGAGAGAGAGAAAACACACAGAGAGAGAAACATGGTATCGGAGAGAGAGAGAGAAACACCATATCAGAGAGAGAGAGAAACACGGTATCAGAGAGAGAGAGAGAGAAACATGGTATCGGAGAAGAGAGAGAGAAACTCGGTATGGGAGAGAGAGAGAAAAAACACACAGAGAGAGAAACATGGTATCGGAGAGAGAGAAACACGGTATCAGAGAGAGAGAGAGAGAAACACGAATCGGAGAGAGAGAGAGAAACACGGTATGGGAGAGGGAGAGAGAAAACACACAGAGAGAGAAACATGGTATCGGAGAGAGAGAGAGAAACATGGTCAGAGAGAGAGAGAGAGAGAGAGAGAAACACGGTCTCGGAGAGAGAGAGACACGGTATGGGAGAGAGAGAGAGCAAAAACACACAGAGAGTGAAACACAGTATATGAGAGAGAGAGAAACACGGTATCGGAGAGGGAGAGAGAAAACACACAAAGAGAGAAACATGGTATAAGAGAGAGAGAGTTGTGTTATACAGAGTGAAAGATAGCTGTGTGTTATACAGAGAGTGTCAGAGAGAGCTGTGTGTTTTATAGAGTGTCAGAGAGAACTGAGTGTTATACAGAGAGTGTCGGAGAGAGCTGTGTGTTATACGGAGAGTGTCGGAGAGAGCTGTGTGTTTTATAGAGTGTCAGAGAGAGCTGTGTGTTTTATAGAGTGTCAGAGAGAGCTGAGTGTTATACAGAGTGTCAGAGAGAGCTGTGTGTTTTATAGAGTGCTGTGTTGTAGTATGGTTTTGTTCCTTCACAGAGGAGATTAGAATGGATCGGTTAAAATAATGTTAAAATGTTCTGTTTTCTGCGTGTTTTTTCACTGTTTAGTGAATAAGCCCTCTAACCCGGTCTCTGCAGGCGATATATTTATGGTTGTAGTCTCTCTCTACAGAGCGAAACTCCCATACAAAGCATCCTGTCTGCACAGCTTTCACTTTCATTCTGACTGTCTGTTCTTTGTATTCCAGCCCACATTGCGATGACAGAGGGGAGACAGAACGAGAGAAGGAGAGAGTAACGGAGGAAGACAGACTGACCAGAGACACCGACAGCAAAGGTTTACAGAGAAAGATCAGCAAAAAGGTGCAGAATAAAAAGAGAGAGAGAGAGACAGTAAGCAGGCCAAGAGAGAAATACGGTATCAGTGAGAGAGACAGCGACAGAGAGAGACAGCAAACAAACAGAGAGAGAAATACGGTATCAGTGAGAGAGAGAGAGAAAACACAGAGAGGGAAACACGGTATCGGAGAGAGAGAAACACGGTATCGGAGAGAAAGAGAAAACACAGAGAGAGAAACACGGTATCAGAGAGAGAGAGAGAAACATGGTATCAGAGAGAGAGAGAGAAACACGGTATCGGAGAGAGAGAGAGAAAACACACACAGAGAGAAACATGGTATCGGAGAGAGAGAGAGAAACACGGTATCAGAGAGAGAGAGAGAAACACGGTATCGGAGAGAGAGAGAGAAACACGGTATGGGAGAGAGAGAGAAAACACACAGAGAGAGAAAACACACAGAGAGAGAAACATGGTATCGGAGAGAGAGAGAAACATGGTATCAGAGAGAGAGAGAGAAACACGGTATGGAAGAGAGAGAGAGAAACACGGTATGGGAGAGAGAGAGAGCAAACACACAGAGAGTGAAACACTGTATCTGAGAGAGAGAGAGAGAGAGAAACACGGTATTGGTGAGAGAGAGCAAACACACAAAGAGAGAAACACGGTATGGGAGAGAGAGAAAAACACGGTATCGAGAGGGAGAGAGAAAAACGGTATCGGAGAGAGAGAGGGAAACACGGTATCAGAGAGAGAGAGAGAGAAACACGGTATCGGAGAGAGAGAGAAACACAGTATCGGAGAGAGAGAGATAAAACACACAGAGAGAAACACGGTATCGGAGAGAGAGAGAGAAACACGGTATCAGAGAGAGAGAGAGAGAAACACGGTATCGGAGAGAGAGAAAACACACAAAGAGAGAAACATGGTATCAGAGAGAGAGAGAGAAACACGGTATCAGAGAGAAAGAGAGAGAAACACGGTATCGGAGAGAGAGAGAAACACAGTATCGGAGAGAGAGAGATAAAACACACAGAGAGAAACACAGTATCGGAGAGAGAGAGAGAAAACACACAAAGAGAGAAACATGGTATCAGAGAGAGAGAGAGAAACATGGTATCGGAGAGAGAGAGAAACACAGTATCAGAGAGAGAGAGAGAGAAAACACACAGAGAGAAACACGGTATGGGAGAGAGAGAGAGAAACACGGTATCGGAGAGAGAGAGAGAAACACGGTATTGGTGAGAGAGAGAGAAAACACACAGAGAGAGAAACACGGTATTGGTGAGAGAGAGAGAGAGAGAAAACACACAGAGAGAGAAACACAGTATCGGAGAGAGAGAAATACGGTATTGGTGAGAGAGAGAGAGAGAGAAAACACACTCTACAGAGAGAGAAACACAGTATCGGAGAGAGAGAGAGCAAACACAGAGAGAGAGAGAGAAACACGGTATCAGAGAGAGAGAGAAAACACAGAGAGAGAGAAACATGGTATCGGAGAGAGAAACACAGTATCAGAGAGAGAGAGAGAAAACGCACAGAGAGAGAAACACGGTATCGGAGAGAGAGAGAGAGAGACACAGTATCGGAGAGAGAGAGAGAGAGAGAGAGAGAAAACACTCTCTACAGAGAGAGAAACACAGTATCGGAGAGAGAGAGAGCAAACACAGAGAGAGAGAGAAACACGGTATCAGAGAGAGAGAGAGAAACACGGTATCAGAGAGAGAGAGAAACACGGTATCAGAGAGAGAGAGAGAAACACGGTATCAGATAGAGAGAGAAACACGGTATCAGAGAGAGAGAGAAAACACACAGAGAGAGATACACGGTATCGGAGAGAGAGAGAGTGAGGGAGAGAGAGCAAACACGCAGAGAGAGAAATATATTATTTTTTGTTTTTATTTCTTTAGTTTTTTTATTATAATTTTTTTGATATTTTGTATTTATTATTTTTTGTTTTTTATTTATTCATTTATCTATCATTATTTGTCTATATCTTTATACTTTTTTGTTTAGATTTTTCTTCTCTTTTTTATTTCTTATTTGGCCCTCTGTTACTGTGTCACTATACCCCACTCCCTCTAACATGTAAACTCACTGAGCAGGCCCTCAATCCCTCTGTTACTGTGTCACTATACCCCACTCCCTCTAACATGTAAACTCACTGAGCAGGCCCTCAATCCCTCTGTTACTGTGTCACCATACCCCACTCCATCTAACATGTAAACTCACTGAGCAGGGCCCACAATCCCTCTGTTACTGTCACTATACCCCACTCCCTCTAACATGTAAACTCACTGAGCAGGCCCTCAATCCCTCTGTTACTGTGTCACTATACCCCACTCCCTCTAACATGTAAACTCACCGAGCAGGCCCTCAATCCCTCTGTTACTGTGTCACTATACCCCACTCCCTCTAACATGTAAACTCACTGAGCAGGGCCCTCAATCCCTCTGTTACTGTGTCACTATACCCCACTCCCTCTAACATGTAAACTCACTGAGCAGGCCCTCAATCCCCCTGTTACTGTCACTATACCCAGGTTGACTGGCCATCGGGCATGGTCAAGCAAATGCCCGGTGGGCCGCGATGGCCGTGGGGCCGAGGCCGGCAGGGAGATCACAGGATCTCCCCGGCCGGCTCCTGCAGGGCCAGCACTACCCGAGCGCCGGCCCTGCTGTGTGTCTCCATGGGCCGGTGGGGAGATCAAAGATCTCCCTTTACCGGCCCAGAGACACTTCCAGGCGGCCGCTTGCTGGGGTGTGAGGGAGGGAGGAGAGGACCCGCGGAGCTCTATCCAGCAGCTCCGCCGGGTCCTCTCGCGGGATTCTGAGCGTTGCCGCGGTTACCGCGGCAACGCTCAGATCTCGCGAGAGTGAACTCTAACCTACAGGCTAGAGTTCACGCTCACCACTAGGACCACCAGGGATCAGGCAGCATGGCTCTCCCATGGCAGAACGGCTCCCCCCCCCGTCCCAGGCAAAACGGCCCCCCCCTCCCAGGCTAAAGGTAAGAAGGGAGGGGGGGGATATAACTTTTTTTAAAATTATTATTATTAATTAAAAAAAATAAAAATAATTTAAATTTAAAAAAAATCACACTCACACACATCACCCCCAGACACACACACAGCACCCAGACACACACACAGCACCTCCAGACACACACATCACCCCCAGACATACACAGCACCCAGACACACACAGCACCCCCCAGACACACAGCACCCAGACACACACAGCACACCCAGACACACACAGCACCCCCAGACACACACAGCACCCCCAGACACACACAGCACCCAGGACACACACACAGCACCCAGACACACACACAGCACCCCAGACACACACAGTTCCCCAGACACACAGCACCCCAGACATACACATCACCCACAGGACACACACATCACCCCCAGACATACATACACAGCACCCCCAGACACACACAGCACCCAGACACACAGCACCCCCAGACATACACACACATCACCCCCAGACACACACATCACCCCCAGACACACACACAGCACCCCCAGACACACACAGCACCCCCAGACACACAGCACCCAGACACACACACAGCACCCTCGCCTCACATACACACACACACACACACACACACATATATATATATATATATATATATATATATATATATATATATATATTTACAGATATATATATATATATAATATATAAAATAACCCTCAGTGAGTTAACAGACAAAGAAAATTAGAATGTGACGGCAGATAAAAACACCCTCACACACGGCACCCCTCTTACATACACACACACTGCGCCCCTCACACATACAATACGTCCAAATATATATATGTATGTATATATATATATACACACACACACACACACACACACACACACACTACAGCACTACATACATTACGCTCCAGATACACGCTAGATCCCTTACCTTATATGCACTCTTAATCCTCTATACACACACACACACACACACAATCTCCTATACACACTCTGGGTCCTTTACACACTAGATCTCCTACACACACACTGCACCACCTACACACACACTACATTCCTTGTCAGCAAACACATACAACATTCTCTAAACACACCCTCTCTACAACCCCTACACACACACTACGTCACCTATATACACACACTACAGCCCGTATGCACACATTCGCTACATCCCCTATAACACTATGCCACCTATACACACACTCTCTACAGCCCCTAGCCACACATATTACACCACAAACACATATGAAATTGACCTATTTACACAATGCCACACCACACTCTACACACACGCAATCCCACAAGCAGGCTCCAAACACATGCACCATACACTTTCCTGTCCCTTTTGTCCTCTGGTATCCCACTTGTTGAGACACCAGAGACAATTTAAAAGCAAACACAGCGCAAGCATGTTATTAAATTTGCTTGCGCTGTGCAGAACAAATACAGGGCCTTTTTCTAATGCCAGAGCTCTTCAGCGCAGCTCATTGAACCAACATTCTCACTTTGAGAGGAGGCGTGCTTGTCATTAGTGATGACAAAACACACCCTCTCTGGCCCCGCCCCCTTCTTAGGGGGCCGCTCTGATTGAAAAATGCCCGGGCCTAATTTTTTCCCCAGTCCGGCCCTGCTCATACACTTACTATAACCCACCTTCCCACACCATGCTCACACACTACCACCCACCTTCCCTACTTTACAGTATCACACACACAGTCTACTGCTGGCCACTTTAGACACTGTTTTCTTATTTGTCATAAAAAAAGGAAGATATCTCAGTGCTCCCAATTTTAGTATTAGATTCTATGTTTATCCCTCCCAACCTGTACATCATAGATTTCCATTTATGCATTGTAAATAACGTAGAATGACATTTTTATATATCTATATTTATGTGGCAAACCTAGCCACTTGTAATATTCTGGACTATGTGCATAAAAAGGTTTTCTGTACTAATCCCTGTAACTTCTTGTATAACCTGGATTTACACTGTGTGCTACTGTATGTTTGCATAGAATTCGTATGCTAGCA